CCAAATGGGTAGCCGAAAGATAAACCAAAAGCGGCGCACGATAGGGCATGGTTAATGGTTGTGCAAACTGAAACTGTTGTGCCGTCGTGACATGCGGTTGTCTGTGAAGGGTCAAGCATATGCTGCAGCAGTTCGGCCAGTTATGCTTTACGGTGCAGAGACTTGGCCACTACGGGAACAGGTGTTCGAACACCACTGTCTACGTATCATTACCCGAGTCTGGTGGGTTAACCAGACGAGCAATGCTGGGGTGAGACGCAGAGTTTTAGGTAAATGCGGCCGCCCACTGGAGCAAATGATCGACTTCCATAGATTACGTTGGCTGGGACATGTGTTATGCATGTCACCAGATAGGTTGCTACGGCAAGCGATATTTGCCGAGGCAGGTAGCGGTTGGAAAAAGTCATGGGCGGTCAGACTAAGACCTGGCATGACGGTATAAAAACCCTAAGCAGGAGACTGAGTCACGGTTCGCGTCAAGCTCCGTGGATGCGGAAATCGAGATCACAGTAACCGATGTTTAGAGACACTGAGTGATATGGCTGTGTCGTAATAGCGTTCGTGTATCTACTCAACCTTCTCTTCTCTATTCTGATCTTTTATCCGGATGAACGATCTAAACAGGAATCAAAACCGCTGCACAAAGGCGCATGGTTAATGATTGTAATAAAGTGAACTGAATCACTGTATGTTCTTTTCTTTTCAGATCGCTAATGACTCACAGAGTTTTTGAAACGTATGACCAATTGTGTCAGTCCGTGTGCGATGCTATATGTGAGGTTTTGAAAGAAGCTGTTAAACTACGAGGCATATGCTCCATAGGTGTGTCCGGTAAGTTTTCAGCCCTCAGAGAGATCCCTAACTCTCATCACACAGGCGGTAGTATGCCTCAGATGATTTCCGGTATTTGTGACCGCTCAGATATACCCTGGCATTCGGTTCATTTTTTCTATTGTGACGAACGACTGGTACCTGTCACCGATCCGGAAAGCACACATCGTGTTTACGCAGAGAATATCTATCCGAAACTGTCGATTCCGCCGGAAAACATTCATACAGTCAAAACGGAACTTTCTGGTAGTTTGCTTTATTCAGTTTGGTTGTGATATGCGGCAATTAAGCATACGATGCAGCCACGGATTATGATGAACAGTTGATGGAGTTTTTTGGTGCATTTCTCGGATATCCGGTGTTTGATCTTCTGTTGCTCGGTATCGGTCCGGATGGCCATACTTGTTCACTGTTTCCTGAACATCCTGCGCTGCACGTAAGCTCCCTGAATGATGTGCAAAACAGCATCTTCTATATTCATCTTTTTTTTATATATGCAGGTTTGGAAATATACCGGCTTAGGGAATCGTGCATGAAAATACTGTTTTTTCTCGGGGAAGATCATCAGATTGTATATAAGCATTGTAACGTTTTACGAATCAAGCAAACGAGAGCGGAACTGAGGAGACTCGGAGTCGGAATTATACGCTTTACTTAACTAATAAATCCGGTACATGAGCTGTAATAGAGAGGGAGGTTTATGTAATACGCAATATAAGAGGGTGTATAAACAAGATAACCAGAATATGACAAGCATACTTCAAGTTTATGTTGGTTCTCTGTCTCTCTCTATATGTTTATAGTAACGTTCCGATCCAAACTAGGACTCGTTATCAAAAGTAAATGAAATGAAGGAGATAGGGCGATTATCGTCTGCTGTGCACCTGTGTGCTGTTTGCTCTTATTTCGGTCTTCTCGGGTTTTCTCATTGCGACTTTTGGTTCCTCTGAATGTCGGCCGATTTCTTGTACCTCAGCCTTGTTGAAAGTCCTTAAATGAATGCAGTCAAACCTTTCAATTACACCGTCTGATGTTCTTGATCCTCTTCAGTTTACTTATAAGCAATCCCTCTCAACTGTTGGCGCTCTCGTTGTTGCCCATTCTGTAGCCTCAGTTATAGATAAGAGTGCTTGAACTGTTCGCCTTATTTTTCCTGATTATGCCGACGCCTTTGGTTCACTTAACCGTCACATTGTTATTCAACGTCTTGCTGACTGCGGCTTAAGATCCGACGGGTTAAACATTCTTGCAAACTGCTTCTGTTTTAGGACGCAATTTACCTCATGCAATGGTAAAACTTCGTTGTCTTAATTCTAGTATCTTTCAGGGTGCCATTTTGTCTCCCTTCTTCTTTCCTTGTACATCAACAACCTGATCGTCCTTACCAACGTTATGGCCTGTAAGTATGCTGACGATGTGGTGATCGGGTGCCCATCCAATACTGCTTTATCTTTCCATCAATTTCAACGCAGTCTGAACAACGTTTTTAGTTGGTCTCGACCCCGATCACTCATGTTTAATGTTCCCAAATACGTTGACATTCACACGAGATCCATGGATGAAACGGATCTCACTTTTCAGGTGGCACCAAAGGTGGTTGCTGTTGTAATTGAGGATGCGATCTGTCGTGGTCGGTTTTCGGAAGACTACGGTTTCTAATCTTCTGTCAGGTCGCTTTTTGAGAAGGATATCGAGAAACGGGTGTTGTTCATCTTTCTCTCCTGTGAAGTTGATACCAAGCACCTGCTCGTTGATCATTGGGTGGAACTGATCTACCGTAGAATCTCTGAGTATAACGAATGTCGTCTACATACCGTATCCACAGTCGACGTAGAATATCAAAAGCTTTGACTTTGAAGTGCTTCATGACCGCATCCGCAAGCAGGCCTGAGAGTGGTGAACCCACAGGAGTTCCTCGTATTTACTGTTACACATTCCCGTCGAAATGAAATTAGGTTTCCAGAAACGGTTCCTGAATGTGTTGCGCTTTCTCTTTAGTTTTCAGACATTGAGGATGTTCCGAATGTATATATATGTATATATATATATAATCATTGCTTTAATTTGCGTCAAATCCACGTTTCGTTTCGAGTCATGTTTCCTTATGTTAATTGCTGGTTTTGATTGATTCGCGTGCGCGAAGAAGGCATTGAGGCTTCACAGAAATCTAGAGTGTCGCGGCACGAAGTGACAGACCACATTCAGTTAAACCGACAGAATGCATAACCTTTTTGGTAAGTGACTGGTGTTTTTTCCTTTTTTTGAACACATGATACAGTATTGAGAAAAGGAGAAGCCGCCAATTAAAGGGCTGCCATACAACACAAGGGAAAAGTCAGGCGATGGTGGTAGGATTCGAACGCTCGTCTTCCGGGGTGATAGATGGGAGACGTTACCACCAGGCTACCAACGCTCGAGTTGGATTGTTTCTATCATTTCAGCTTGCGCATTTTGAAAGACAGTTGAACAAACCGGGTTGGACAGCTTATCTCAGTCTAGCCGTCGTTTTATCGTGCGTTTTGAGGGCCCACCAAAACACATGGATAGCATGATGCATGCTAATGCATAGTCGGATTCGAGAGGTGTGCTCCAGCACGATCGGCAGTCTTGTATGCAATCCCGCTATTTGTGACTTTTTGTGATGTGGTCACTGCTTGTGTCGCTGGCTCGAGGAGGGTGGACGTCAGGTGATGTCCCGGCATTTGGATTGTCTGAAGTCCGTACTGGTGAGGAATGGGCGGTGATCAGAGCATAGAGCCAACAGCTGTTCCCCATTTTCCGAGCGGCAGGAATCCAGTCCAAAAAGACCTCCCACATGTGCCTGACTGGAAATCAACCGGTCATATCTCCTGCTAAAATCACGATATCAGCCCGGTTCGCTTTAGGCAGGAGTTCGTTTAGAATGTAGTAAAACTCATCTTAGGCTGCATCTGGACTGCGATCCTCTGGCTCCATAAGAAATCTATTTCTGTTAGTGTTATTTTTATTCCATCCTTGTTTATTCTTTAACCTTCTGTTGTTCCCAGTGCGACCATCGCTCGGTGGTTGCCATCGAGGACAGTCCCAAACCTCCCCCAAAACGGGTGACGCTCACACTACATGTGTTGAATAAGGCCAGACACGTGTTTTTCATCGTCACGGGAGCAGACAAAGCGGAGGCTGTTGCGGTGAGTCTCACACGTGAACAATATGTCTGTTTTAAATAGAACAAGATGTATCGAACAAGACTTGTTTTCAGTGGCTCATTTTCTTTCGCTAATACATCACAATTTATATAACTCAGAAAAAATACGGTAGGACGGAGATATTCAGGGAATGTAGGTAATGTCTAATGTTTCTGGTATAATGTCTAGTCCGGATTTGGCGAGGATTGGGAGAGGCGAATTAAAATGGGATGAGTGAAGGGGGGCACAGTGATTTCATAAATTGTTTTCGCGCACTTCTGTAACATATACCACTGGAAAAGACCACTAATATGACCTTATCCCACAGGTAGCACATGGTAGTGAAAAAAATGAATTCGCACCCTCGAAGACAAAGGCCGAGACGTGAGATACCGCTTTGTGCTATTTTCTTGAAATCGTCAAAATAGCCCCACAGAGCACATTTCAAACAACAACGGAGTGGCGAACAAGCTCGTTTTCAGATATTCGCATTCATGCCAATACATTTCAATATATATCACAATTCGGGAATGAAATTGTCTTGGGAAAATAAAATAAAATCACAGATTACTGGAAACAATTTCAACGTGAGACCGGAAATCGGGTTCACCACGATCACACGTTTGTTTGTCCACCTATTCGATCATCGAGATTACCCGTGAGGCAATGTGTGTGTGCGGGGGGAGTAGGGTGGATCCAAGAAGTTGTAGCGCTTGCACAAATTGTTTTTGAGCATACAGAGGGGGGGGGGTTGTGCAGACGAATGCCCACCGCTTCTGCTGTAGCCAGCCCGGCCTGGATAATCGCCCACGAACTTTGTACAGAGGTCGGAAAACCTCAGATACGTCCACAGTGTGATTTGTTTCAGCTAGGTGTGAAACCACTGCACTAGTGAGTAACGTAATCGTCCCGGTGTTCAGCTACGCATGGTGGTGTTCACAAATCCGTTCTGACAATCACCTGACCATGCGACCTATGTACGTTGTTCCACAGGAACAAATAAATCAGTATATGCAGGATGTGACCGCAGAGTCTGGAACTTTATCCTTCAGCGCAAACACACAATTGGCTTGGACGTGAACAACACACGAAGCTGGGATGCATAGAAAGTCTTATCGATTGTGTTGGATAATCTTGTTTGTATGATCTCAGACGATGTGTCCCCTTTGAACGGCAAATAAATGTACACGGATTTTTTTCCCTGACCTCAGTGTTTTGTACAGTTTTTTGTGCACTGAATCATCTTGTTGATTAAGCGCTCCGGATACCCGTTACGTGCAAAGGTAGATTTCATAGTACGGAACTCTTCCAGCCTGTTCTCACTGCATATCTTTCTTGGTCTATCAGCTAGGCGACGAATCAGGTTCCTTTTTACCTTCAGTGGGACAAGGCTTGGGAAATTAATGTTTTGGTCTTTCCAAGTTGCCTTTCTATGCACAGAACGTTGCACCAAACCATCTGATCAACGGGTGATGCATACATCTAGAAACGGCAGTTTGTTGTTACTCTATTTCTGAAGTAAATGTTATGTTGGTTTGCGCTCCGTTGAACCTGTTTAATAGTTCTGTTGTGTTTGGTGTTGCACTGATCCCGCAATAAATGTCATCTGCGTACCGATGGATGCAGGTAATTGAGTGTTTTCAAGTTTCACCATGAATAAATCCGCGAAAAGCGGTCCCAGCGGAGACCCCATGGCCACGCCATTCTTTTGTTGATAGATCTAATCGATAAACTTGCGATGAACATTATACGTGCAGAATCAAAGCAGTTGTTTTAGGTCATCCAAAGGTTGGCCGAGCTCTATATTGATGGCTTGTACATAACTGCATAGATGTTGATTCGTTTCGCTGATGGTGATTGGTGAACAACGAGTTGACGTCCAGCGAGAGCATTGTTCGGTCGACCATGTTTATCTCACGAATTTTGTTCACGAAAGTAAGTGTATCTTTGATACTGTGTTTAGCCAAACTAACTCGAACGGGTTCTAGGAATTTGGCGAACCACTTTGCCCGGGCATGATATGGCGAGTTGCACATAGCCAAAATCGGTCCTAATGGTACTCCATCTTCGTGTACTTGTGATGGTTGTGGTAGCCCGATTGCTCATTACAACAATACTTTTGGCAATCCATACAACATCAGAATAACAGTCCCGGTTGGCCTAATACGTCCTAAAGTGGATACATCAATGACTCTCCTTTGTTTTAAGTAACGCAAAATCTTAGAAAGCGCCCCTTCTATTTGAGCTGTCTTATCCTTTTCCGTTGACTTGGTTAATTTCGACCGATCACTCAATATTATATTCATCTTGTCTATGTAGTCCATTCGATTTAGCAGCACTATCCTTGTCTCTTCTCCGGTTTGAATAGTATAATATATTTTTCTGCAGTTCTCTTGATCGTCTGAGTAATCTCGATGATCGGATAGGTGGACAAACAAACGTGTGATCGTGGTGAACCCGATTTCCGGTCTCACGTTGAAATTGTTTCCAGTAATCTGTGATTTTATTTTATTTTCCCAAGACAATTTCATTCCCGAATTGTGATATATATTGAAATGTATTGGCATGAATACGAATATCTGAAAAGGAGCTGATTCGCTACTGTTTCCTGAGATTCTGTTTGAAAAATACTTGAAGCTGCTTTGTCCTCAGACAGAAGCTAAATCCCTACAAAGGATTGAATAAGTATCATTGATAGGTTTTCATGGTTATGGTTTTATTTTATTCTATGAGGAATGCTATATGTTCCCTAATTTGTAATTTTGTGCGCACCATTCTGTGTTGAGAAAGAAAAGCTGAGGCTTTCTCTCTCACCTTTGGAAATTGTGAAGGTTTCAGTCTAATGAACTGCTACCGGTTCTTTTCCCTCCCGTATAATTTTGCAGGAAGTTTTTAACGACCATCTAGCACCATGTTTACCTTGTGCTCTGGTACAACCAATCGTTGGTGAGCTCGTCTGGTTTCTAGACCAAAATGCAGCCAGTAAAATCGGCGTTTAAAATTGCCACTCGCTTTGGTTCATGTTGGCATCAAAATTGTTTCTCGCATCACCTGGGTGAATAGCTCTTCAGTCTCGTCTGATCGGATCAACCACGCGAGGATTCTTGGAATTCCCTTTGTAAACAAAACTTGGTCATCTTTCCAATTTTCCCAATTTTTCCAATTTTGTGTCATTGACTGATTTGCCCCAACGATCTCCCTCCGACCCTCCCACAAAATCATGAATGTGGTAATTTTGAGTAGTCATGATTGTCAATTCAAATCAAATCATGTCAAAAATACACATTCGTTGTGGATAGGATTTTCACTTGAAGAAGTTAGCACTCTTGTTTTGGCGTGTATGCGAATAAAATGGGCTTAGCGAAATGGCATTTAGTTCAGGGGGCAATGATAAAGAGCAAGAACGCATTGCGGAAGTGGCAACTGCTGCATGATATACATGAAATTGTCTTCGTTCATTGGCAGTCGTATGGGACCACTCACAGTGTATGCTTTGTAAGTTTGGCAGCTGTCAATGAAGCTCGCTTCACTATATTTCGATTTACGTGCTGGTGATGATGATAGACATGAAGATCTGCTGCGCAATCACGATGACCGGTGTCTAAAGCCCTGGCAATTGAAGGGTCAATCGCATATAAGGTCCTATTAAAGAGAGACGTTTTTGATTGAGTTGGGTGATAACGAAGCTCTCTGCCACCAAAGTTGACTTGCGGTTCAAGGGTTCAGAACTCTGACCTTAATCATTCATCTTGGTCTGCTGTTCGTGTGCTTGGTTTTGCACGGTGTGTACGACGAAATTCAACAGCTGCACGTTCACCGTTTGATGGACAATAAAAAGGGGATCAATCCCTTATTATCACGAGAGCATACCTCAGTTCACATGCGTTCATATGTTTTGGTAGCTTTGTACTTTCTTCTGCACGCTTGGATCACTAACCTTCGGGTGTAGAATGTGAGAGGTAATTTACGAAGTTGGAAGCAGTTATGCAGGTAAAACGCAGAATGCAATTAGGGCGGTGCAGGAGTGTTATTGTTTACGGTCATCATTCATATTCAGATTCTATTCAATCGGCGGATTACACCAATCTTGAGATCCCCAACCGGAGGGGTCTAACGCATTCTCTAAGTTTCTTGATTGGGATTTTCTTCCTCTCATAGCTAGTTTTAGTTTGATCACCTTTGAATTGCTTCCAACTGTTACCTACTTCGGTGAACATTGCGTACAAATGAAGCATATTTGATTCCATGCGTACTGTTGCTCCAGCTTTTTTCAATCTGTGAAAATCAAGCATTTACTCCACCATGCGTCCCAAGGTCTTGGATACTCATTTGGAAAACCCTCTTTGTCATCTCTCGCTCCCAGTTTGTACGAGGTCCTTGTTTGAACCACCCATGGGTCTCAGTTTCAGTTTTCGCAACCATTAACCATTCATTTTTATGTTCCGGTTTTGGTTGCTATCTTTTGGACAAAAAAGTAGATTGAAGATTGGAATGTTGAGAGCAGGGTCAAAGTAAAGATCGAGAATTCATTAGACTACAGTTGCCATAATATTGAGTAGATGCACGCGCGCCACTGTTTACGACGGCCATATCACTCAGTGTCTTCAACCACCGGTTACCATGATCTGGGGGTCCCCATCCAGGAAACCTAACGGGACCTAATGCGAGCAAGTTTCCTAGGCAGTTTGTCTGAATTAGTGCAACGGGTCGGAAGAAGGGATAAAAGGAAAGGATTGGGTACTGAAGACAAAGAATTAAACGAGGGTTGGTTTTGTGAAGCTAGGTTCTTTATGCGTTTTGCACCTTTACCTGAGCACGACGTCAATGTTTTTGTGTCCTCAATTGATATGAATTGAACACTTTCCCATTTGACTGATTTTGAATCCTAGACATCAAGGAGTCGTAATACACACTAGTTCATTGACGACCTCAAGTCTTATTAAATTAAATAATTGCTATTCATGGGCTTCATGTAGGTGCTTTCCTGATAGTTCTTCCCGTTATCAACCACAGAACAGTCAGTTGTATTATTGGTTGACAGTGACACGAAATGAAGTAATGAGAAGCAAGTGCAACTGACACTACGATCCATTCAGCCATGCATCGGTTTGATTTTTTGTATCACATTTTCTGTGTGATGAACAGCTGACTGAGTGAACTCCACAGGCGCTTGTATAAGTATTTGTATGACTTATGCAAGCTGAGATACACTTCCATTTCAGTTAAAAATTATACACTGGTCGCCACACCGGAGAAGTATAAACAAATTCAATAGAGTGCTGTGTAAAAAATGTCTTTAAAGTTCGGTTAATTCATTTAAAGATTGACGTAATTCATTTATAACTCGTTCCTTGTTAGTCAAGATGCGAGCCAGAAGTGGTACAGTGGAGTTTTTATAAATGTTTATATCGGGAGTACAATAAGAGGAACGAGTGATCGACTGGGAGCGACAAGAAGATAAGTCAAAATGTAAAGGATGGTAGGGGTCGTTTAGAATCTTATTGGCAAAGGTCATACAAGACTTCATATGACCATTAATTATTTATCTGATTAACGACTCGGCAGGAATTAAAGATGCACGGCTTATTATCATTAATCCACGACAGATAGTTTTAAAGTCTTGTTAAGATTAAGACCAGACTGGTTTGAAAAATGTTCGATTCGGGACAGATTTTCAGTGGAGGAAGAAAATTCCGAAGAATAAGAAACGGTCTGACATAAAGTGACTTGGTCAGCGTACTTTTGTATATGGGCAGCTGTGGCAATGAAAGATCGCTAATGAAAGCAGGGGAAAGATACGGAGAGAAGACAGCACATTGAAGCACATCAGAATTATTGATCAGAGGTACTCCTGCCAAGCTTTGTGCACTGGGTTCTTTCAGTGAAGTAATCAGAAAGCCACGAAAGCAGCTGTCTCGGGGTGCCAAAAGATTCAAGCTTAAAAAGGAGGGATGATCGGGATATAGAATCAAAAGCAGACGAATAATCGAGAAAACCAACGAACAGATTTGGCAGAATTGTTCAATCACTTATAAAATGGACCAGAGTAGACAGCATCCAAAGTGGATCTCTTGGGTTTAAACGCGAACTGAAGAAGATCATGGGGAATGGTGACAAGTGACTGTAAGCGACTCAAGATGGCTTTCTCAATCAACTTTGGAACTACAAACTTCAGTGCAATGGGACGAAAACGTTTCACAAGAACGGTTGAGGATGAGGTCTTTGGAACAGGTATTACGGTCGCTGGTCTCCAGGAATCGGGGATCATCTGTGCAGAAAAAGACTCTTTGATGAGGGATGTCGTCATACTAGTTAGAGGGGCTGCTCCAAACTTGAGAAACGCTGGAGAAAGACCATCAGGCTCCGCGGATGACGATGGTTTGAAGGAACATAGGAGCTTAAAAATTTCATTATTAGAAAAAGGAAATAGATCAGAATTAGAAACTTCACATGGGAAAAAGGGTATCTGGGTATCGTTAGACGGATGAAGAAATGCAGCGTTTAGGCTATTTACATCTACATCACTGTTCACGCTTTTCCTTTTTTGTCCGCAGAGAAGACGAATTCCTTGCCACAGAAACCTTTTTTTTCGTTTACAGGATTTGGGAAGCGAACGTCTTGTTTAAACGTGTAATCTCAGCCCTAATTGAGTTAGAATAATACTTTACAGCAGATGGATGGTGAGATTTATAGGATCGTTCCTTTTGCCTNACTTTACAGCTGATGGATGGCGAGATTTATAGGATCGTTCCTTTTGCTTTCGTAGTGAGTTCAGCGAGGAGATGCAATTTTGCCGTTGCAAACAAACAGCGTTTCCATGGGACAGCAAAAATGAAAAGTCGATTTAATCGTTTCGGTGAAAAGACTGACAGTTAAAAAGTGATGAACAAGAAGCAAACCAAGATTGGTCAACCGTTATGGAACGACAGAGAAGAGAAATGCGGGTTGATGAAAAGTTACGGAGATGAAACCTTATCTGGTTTGATCGTATGAATGTTGGATATGCAGAGCGAGACTATATATTTGGTCCTAAGAGGAGAACACAATGATCACTGATGGCGACTGGGACCATCGGTTTGAGAGAAAACAAAGTGGGTTGGTGTGTGATTACCCCGTCAAGTATAGAGCTGCCTCTGGTAGGAGCATGAGACAAATCAGACAAGCATAGTTGAAGTCATAAATAGCCAAATGAAGATTCTCATCTAATAGTGGAACCAAAAACGGGATGTAATGGTCAAAGAAAGAAAATATATCTGATTGAGAGCATGAAGGAGATATGTGCATATTAGTAATTATTGTACTTTGATATCGGGAAAATCTGGGATGGAAACGAACGGATGAACAGTCAATGGATTTTTCAGAATAGCTGAAAACCACTTCAGACCTGCCACACCAAGAAGGGTTGATGTACGTTGCCACACCGCCTCCAGTTTTCTTCCTTTTATGTTGTCTATCCTGCCGGTAACGGTTGAAACGATCTAAGTGCACGAGAGAATCCTGAACGTGTTGATTTAACCAGGTTTCTTGCATGCATACGACGCATGTGTTGGAATGGATGCCTTCGTTCAGTGAGGAAGTTAAACCGGATATCTTTGCGAAGAGAGAGCGAACGTTGGTTTTGACCAATGACATCACAGTCATCTTGACAGGAGGGGTTCTATTAAGCGCACGCTGCCGTCCAGCACGCTTGCGCTTCTTGATCCAAGCGTGATTGCCATATTCTCCAAGCATATTGTTTGTATGAGGCAGAGAATTAACAGATTTCAATCTAAGCATATCCTGACGAGAGTAGGTATGGGTCCGGAACATGTTTGACATCGAGATAACCATAAAATCCAGTGGGACGACGAGCACACAAAACTTAGCGCAGCCAATCGAAGGGCTTGCGCCTTCCTTGTACCTACTGTTTACTGACAGAAAATCCCTTGGGAAATTCCTTAGTTGACAGTCCTGACGCAGAATATACTACTTCACTCTGGCGCAGTACACACCTTCCAATTCCATAAAGTGTTTCACTGATGCTCAAGAGATCCATTCTGGTCTGTCACTCGAGAGTTCGATATGCTGACGGTCATCGGGTTTATTTTGTTGCAGTCATTCTGGTCTCAAAAGCCTAGATGAGCGAAGCGGCATGTCACGTTTTTGAGGTTCCAAGCCAATGCCTAACGCAGCAATAGTATCGGTTATTTTGTCAAGTTAATCCTACCTATGCTCCGTACATTCGAACAGTAAAATGATACCATGGTGAAACTTAAGTTCGCGTAGAACTTACGATCTTACCAATTACCAACTTTTTGAATGACTGTTTATTCTTAATTCGCTTAGCTCCTNTCCTGTTGTATTCGATTGGCTTATCATAAACCACAGTTTTGTACCATCAGTGAAAATTGTTTGTAATTAATCACGGACCTGGCGAAACATTCACGATGACAAATATGCCCCGAAAAATCTCATTGGATTAGGAACAGTCTGAGACAAACAGTATCTACAACGGTGAAGTCGAAAGCAGTCTTCAGCCAGAGTAACAGAAGAAGAACCGCTCAGC